CGGCGAACAGCGACTATGGTCGGCCGGGGAACAGCGACAAGTATTTTCCTATATATAATATTTCTTTGTTACAGGTAAGTCTAGCTGTAATCGCATGTAGTATCGAATACAGCTAGACAGGGTGGGTTGCATTTCGTTTCGATTTCCGATACTTAGAGCTCTGTCGAGTCACACTATAGTTTTTTTGTGTTAACTTTTTCGGTTATTTTCAAGCATAAAATTTTTACACATAAAAACACATTATATAACGGACATTATATAAAACCCCTGCTCTGGAATAGGTGGAGCAGAAAAGGGCTGAGTGAAGGTGAGGAGGACAGCAACAGAAGAACATCAGAAGGACTCATCAAGCAAGACATATATAGAGAGCTTGTTCACTGCCTACAGCCATACGGAGCTTACACAAGTAGGAGAATTTGTTTTAACGCTTGGAAATTGGCACATCTACTAACTAGATGCTGCATGCATTATTGTTGTTTTTTCTTGTTTACTTTTTCCCCTCCTTCTTTTAGAAAGTGTTTTACGGCGCTCACAATTGCAAAATGCCACATGAGCGAGCGGGACACACGTAGTATTATTCAGTTTGGTAGGAATTAATTTTGAATTTACCGAGTGGCGGCCGAAGCCTACTGTTATCGATTTTAGGACGACCAAGGGGTCTTTAACGTGAGCAACTTTCACACGGAACCTTCGATATTTTTTGGCCCTTATCCGAAAAGGCTAGGTGTTAGATCTTACCTACCTAAAAATCAGTCCGGGTGTGGTTGAAAGACAAAAGTAAGAAAAAGCCAAGGGGTAACAGCAGAAAGGCAAAAGAAAGAGTCAGGAGCCCAGTGGAGGGGGCAAAGGGGGGAGAGGGAGCAGAAAATGAATACAAAAGCAGACGACAGGTCATGATTAGAGAGCAGAAGAGATGAAAGGTGAAAATTGTAGAAAGAGGAAAATTTCCCCGTCACTGTCAGGTTTCGAACCCGGAACCTATTGTATGAGAGGCGAACGCCGTACCTCTAGAACGCGAGAGTCCCCCTTTGTTTTCCTCTTTTCAGCTTGCCTGTACTACAAATGTATCCCCTTGTATCATATATTTCTTCTTTTCTTAAATGTTGTTGGATAATTCATGCTTGTAGATTGACGCCTTTTACTTTATGGGGAAATTCTAGTGTATATATACAATAGAACCTGCCCTAAAGGCTACCGATATTAGAGAATCACCTGTATAAACGGCTACCAACTATTTCCTCCCTTGTTTATTTTAAAATATTATAGTAACACCAAGTAAGACGGCCTCCTGTCTAATACGGCCCCTTTTCTCCTTGGGACGACCGTCTTAGACAGGTTCGACAGTATTTCAAAATAGCCCTGTCGTGACAAAGTAGAAAACAGGTCTACAACTTGTAAGATTTAAATTGCTGGAAGCGCAGAACAAAGCCCTTTGAGAGTCTATGTTCATCTATCATTCTCTCTGACTTTAATTTGTAAGTGTGTCGACTGTAGCCTAGTGGTTGGTTAGGCTACCTGACCCGAAATCGTGAGATTGCGGGTTCGAGCATCAGCTCGGTCCGACGTCGTTGTGTCCTTGGGAAAGGCACTTCACGTGAATATCTCACTTGGCTCTGTCCTTTCGGGTATGAGCGTACGTTAAAATCGAAGGTACCACCTCTTAAATAACGTAATAGTGTTGATAGGGGCGTTAAACCTAGGATTACCATTTCACCAATTTGTGAGCTAAAGAAGTACGACAAAAACATTTGGCGTGTAGTTGGCGGGTGCTTTGGTGTGGTTTGATTTTTTTTCCCTGTCAAACATCTATCGTCCTTTCTCTTCTCCTTCTTTTTTTGTGTTTGTTACTCTCTTGTAACATCTCCAATCTTCGGCACTTCTATGACCTCATTGCATTGCAAGTGTCCTAAAACTCTTAAACTAAAAGAAAACATAGGGTATCGATGCCACGATCAACACCACGAAGACCAGGTATTGGTCAAACAGCTCAATCTTTGCTCCACCGGCGGATTTTTCTGTCCTGTTTTCAACAACGGCGAAAATGCGACCCGCTGGTGTTCCGCGTACCACCCGTGTGTGGTGGAGGCTACTTTAGGCTGCGATACCTTCAAGTTTCGCCTGTCTTCCCCGGGCTGTGTTTCGGGTAGGCAAGGAGCTGCAGTGAGACTGCGATGGGCACTGGCTGTTGCATCTGACTGATATCGTTTTATTTGTTTTAGTAAGAGTTTTACAGTATTTGCAACACATAAATAGATCATCTAAGTGCAGTCGGAGTATCCGATTCCGTGAGTGTATGTTTTTGTTTGACGGTAAGTAATTATTTTTGTTAGACATCTGTTGTTCATATTGGTTTCCTCATAATGGAGACTTTTGATTAAGTGGCTACCTAGCATATACATATTTTCAGTGTTTTAAACACACATACACAAGCAGGGATGCACACACGCACGCACTCACGCACTCACGCAAGCACATAATATATACACCTTCTCTCTCATCACACACAGACGCATATACACCATTATAAATGAACCATATCAATACATAGCCCCTCTCTCTCTCTCTCTCTCTCTCTCTCTCTCTCTCTCTCTCTCTCTCCCCCCCCCCTCTCTCTCTCTCTCTCTCTCTCTCTCTCTCTCTCGCTCTCTCTCTCGCCCTTTTTAACTCCCAGTGGAGCATAGGCCATCAACCTTTCCCCCTCGAAGCCTGTCCTCTGCATCCTTTTCTAGCTGTTTCCATGACGTCCCCGCCTTTTTCCATTTCCGCTTGTACCGCTCGCCTACATGCCATCTTTGGCCTTCTTTATATACATAATAAATGTAAATCACAATTAGATTCGCAGATTAAGAAACTAACAATTAATAGATACATGGTCATTAACCTAATATCGTACTGAACATAAAGCTACTGGTACAGAAATGATATAATTTTAAACTGTGTTTTAAAATATGACTTAAATTAATAGGCTCCGATGTTGTATGGCTTGTAAACTGGCATCTTTCAGGCCAAACTTTCTTCAGCGTTCCAAATAAAAACCGAGAAAATGCCGAGGGCGGGACGGAGAACTATTTTTGTTCAACACAATACACTGTGATGCGTTAAATGAAAGACTCGTCACATTAAGGCCGAACTTGAGTGTGGTATATAAGCTTAAAAACGAAGACAGCAAAGTTTATGAAAAGAACATTAATCCTTTCAGTGCAGAGGTGTTTCCAGCTATGTCTGCACAGACAAAATGAAATTATACTCATTCAATAAAGATGTAAACAGAGCCATGATGAATTTCTCCTTAGTAAAAATGATCAGCTATACAAGATGCAAATACATGTACATCTTCCTGAACGTCCTCTTAATTTAAAAAAACCCAGTAGAAAAAATGGCAGACTACCAAATTTGGGAGATCGCCAGCAAGTACAAATATCGTAGAGGTTATATTTGTAAGGGAGGGACTTCCGAAACGAGCGACCACCCCAACAAACACATTTAATATAAAGAAGAGACCTGACCCAAACCCTAATCTTACTTAACTTTGACTCTACCCCTATTCCTACCTCTACCTCTACCCCTACCCCTAACCCTAGCTGTAACGCAATAACCGTAGCCTGAACCCTTACTGTAACTCCCTATTCTATACTCTATTTTATAGTGTTCGCGCGTTCCCTGCTCCAGATAGAGTTCTACAAAATGGCCGGCGAAGCACTCTGTGCCACAGTCGCTATGTGGGTCACTCAAGGGTGTGTGTGTGTGTGTGTGTGTGTGTGTGTGTGTGTGTGTGTGTGTGTGTGTGTGTGTGTGTGTGTGTGTGTTGGGTGTGGGGAGGGGGGTGTAATGACCGAGGTGCTGTCAGTTGCAGGCGGATTTGTGTGTGTGTGTGTGTGTGGGGGGGGGGGGGGTAGGGTGGAGGCGGTGCACCATCTCCAAAAGGGGACACGCCGAGGAAGAGGAAAAGAAATAACTCAATATAACACAAGTAGTTGTTGAATGAAAGTCTTTCTTGAATTAATACTATCTATCTTGTAACAT